AACCGGTAACAGTAACCAGAATCCTATTACCCACGGCAACCAAGGGTTACCGACCAAGGGATTATCTACCAATCCTATGGAAAGACTTCCTGCAGGCAAGTAGGAAGTCCTCCGGAAAAGACCTATCGGTTGGGTATGGAGTTATGAAGAGTTGAAGTTAGATGACCTAGAAAGTCGGTAATAACAACTATCTTTGTAGATGTAACCCGCAGACGAAACTGATCATTTCGTCGACAAGGGAGACGATTGGAGCCAACACAGTTCGACTTGAGAATTGGGCCATTTGTTTAAAAAGACTCTCACCATTGGATAATTACTATTGGAAACAGCATGACTTCCAAATAGTCATATTATAATTATCAAAGAGGGTGTGATGATTTTCAGGGTCTCCAGGTGTTTGCACCTTGGAAGAAAACCCGACGTTGCGAGTTATATTGGAAAAAGGTACATGGTTGTATGTTAGTTAGATGTAGTTCACGAACACTCAGACGCGGAATATAAATATCGAAGTGCCTCCCAAGCTTTAGACATCATCAAGCAATGGAGAAGAGACCTTAACAATATAATATTATTCTTACGATTTTACTTTACTTTACCCTACTTTACTTCGCTCTTAGTAGTCATAAACGAAATGAGTGAAGTCCGAGCCTTCCTAGACAATCTCCGTCTATAAAAACGAATCTCGATTGGCCCAGACAACTCTGAAGTCTATCAGGTTGTCTCCGCCTAACAGTATATTGTTAGATCTCCTTGTTACCAAGGCTCTCTAATCAGTTACCACTTGCATGTGTTCGATTCACACTTTCAGTGAAGTACTTAATACTACGGTCGGCCTAGATACCATTAGAGAACTATCCCGAACCAATTCAATTTTTGAACCACCGACTAAGATTCACTTACCATCTATTGGTCAAGTGTTTTCTAGCCAGTTCGAGCTTTTAGAAGTGCCATTTCTGTTACAAGAAGCTCGTTCGTGGTATACCGACCCCAACCTAGTTCCTACGGAGGAACAATTCCAAAAAATATACGAAACCTGGTACGGACCAGAATTCAGTTGGAAACCCTTCCTTGACTGGGATATCAGCGAGGAAAGTTCTCTTAGCAGCAGATTCTCTGCTACTATACCTCTAGCGTGGAGACTCGGAACTCATCTGAACTCTCATTAAAATCTATCTCCTCCTACTGCACGACACAGCTAGGACACCAAGTGTCCCGCCGCATGTTCTACTTAAACGGAAACGTCCCAAAACGCGGGCTTCATAGCCCGCATACGAGAAAAAGAAGCTCGCAAACGAGCAAGAGAGATGGCTCAACCTCCTAAGCAGATCCTCCCAGGAGAACCAATGGATACCTCAGGAGATGATCACTCTACAAGTTTCAGCCATTCTTCCTCACTTCCTCCCACTCTTCGGAAACCTATTGGAGGACAAGAGGGCAGGGCTCACAGTGTCCCTCCATCCTCAAGAGCCCCTTCTCCTGCTTCACGATCTACCACACCACGTCCAAATACCCATGCAGCAGATCTCGCAAGACTTGCCGCTAGGGTAGGAATTGTCATAGGTCAAATCCGACAAGACATATCAACCAGTATTGATACTGCCAATATTGCATTTGACACGCTATCAGCAGATTCTCAAACCAATGCATGAGGACTGATAGCTGTCCAGCAACGATTGTTGGAAGGACAAGATATACATGACAATGACATTGCTATTATGTTACGTCAGTGTACAATGGTAGAAGCAAATGTTCGAGAAATTCAAGAAAGGATCAATAGGGAAATTGCCGCCAAGTTGGCTGCACAAGATGCACGGCAAGAACATCACGAAGGAGTAATCACCCAACTGCAGCGAGAAGCTCTAGAATGAGACCTCACCCTGGAACATGCCTTCCAAGAGTTCAGAGCACAACAGACCCAGGAAAATACCGCAATGCGTACCCTGATATCCAATTTGGCTGTAAGGCAAGATAGGGACTCAGAACGGTATAGTGACTTTACCCGTACCATCCAAAAGGACCAAACCCACATATCCGATACCCTATCACTAGTTCTTAACAAGCTTAAGGCACTAGATAGAGGACGAACCACCAGGTGGTCACGCTTACGCTTATGTTGGAATCAGTCCCAGAGGAATGGGAAGAGACTGCAGAACGAGGGGAACCTGAAGAAATCCCTTCTCGAAACAAGGGGAAACAAAGAGAAGGAGAACCTCTAACCTTTCTAATACCGGGTGGCGACCCGGATGATGGAAGTGATGATGGAGATGACGATGGAAACAAAGGAAAACGTGGAGGAGGGCCATCCAGATTCAAACGGGGATTAACCCCAGAACAGCGTGGAACAGCTGACGTACTTGCAGAAGCATTGGCTTAAACAGTTAAACGACTGGCAGACCCGCCCCCATTTTTTGAAGTAAAGGCCAGTCAATGTATTTACCATTGGTTGACCCAATGTGTAGACTACTTTGAACGGAACCCAAGAATCTGGGATGATGATCGAGAACGCATCATTTACGTCTTGGGAAGGACAAAAGGGGATCAGGTCAGCCCAATAGCTGTATAGTACCGACGCGCAATGGATGGTCTCCGAGGAGAAGAACAAGATCCGGAACTATCTTCCTGGACTCGCTTTGAGCATGAATTCACTAGTCGATACGCCCCTCTCGAAGAAGGACGAAAGGCCATATGGGATATGGAATCTGTGGAGTACAAAAACGATATTCAGACCTTCATGAGGAAAATGCATAATCTTAATCTCCATGCCCGATTAACGGGACCAGCCTGGCGAATGGCATGTGATAGGAAATTGCCCTCCAAGGTTAGGTGGCGACTCTCCTTAAACAAATTTGATACCGATGCCGAATGGGAAAAAGCAGTCCGGGAAGCAGGAAGGGATGAGGAGGAACAACAGGAATGGGACCACCTAGACCGGGACAAATCAAAACCCGTAAGGACGTCTTCAGATAAGAAACCTGCGGACAAAATTCAAACAAAAAGGGAGAAACCCTTCATAAAAGGAGGTGGTCCCTCCAAGAAAAGAAAACAGGGACCGGAAACCAATAAACCGGTAAAGAAATCTGCTGGAACTACGAAGTTAACACACACAAACTTCAAAACTGCCCATGAAGGAATCCCTCAGTCAACTATCGATGAAAGAAAGCGGGATGGCAATTGTACTCGTTGTGGTAAGAAAAATCACGACTTCAAAACCTGCTGGGGACAAATTCAGGTATCTAGAACAAGGGCAGTATGACCGACCATTCAAGACACTAAGGCCTAGAAGGGTAGCAACAGTCAACCGTCCCAGAAAGATTTCCACCGCCCAAGTTCCAAGAGGTAATAAACTCTGGGAACTCGGCGATGACGAAGAGATGACTTAAGTCATCTCATTGGTACCGACAACTACGGTGTTCGGGTAGTTTAGAAGAGACATACTCTCTAGGAATCGAAATCAACGGCAAATTAAGGGGACGTCGAAGCGAAGAAAACGACCTTGCGATCATGATCTGAGTGGGAGTACACGCGTCCTTCTTGCCGCAAGGACAAGGGGATTAATAAAGAGCAATGTACGCATTGGCGGCGCCTCTATGCTTCTCAAGAGAGTGACACAAGCTTAGTCTAATGAGCTAATGCATGAACGTTAGGGTAGTCAGGCACATGACCTGGATACTGAAAGGTCTCCGATAAGGACCAAAGCCTAGACAGGAAACGGACAGCACCAAGGGTTCCAAAGGGAGCGACAGTAGGGCTAAGATGAAGGATCTAGAGGATGAGCGAAGCACATCTTCGATCTATACAAGAAATAGGTACAAGAGCTCTAGACCTTACCTTTAGTTACTGCTTCTTAGGTGCCGCGCTGGTACCAAACGGAACTCGATAAAATGAGGACACTGTCTACGGTTAAGCGAGGGTGGAGAATAAGCCCGGGAAGGTTATCAAAGAGACAGCCGACCAGCCCTACGCACCCGGCCTTTGTTTCCATGATATCTAGACGATGGCAGAGACCCCCTAGATTGGTTCCACAGGAAGTATAAAGTGGAAGGTATGGGAACCCCTCGGCAGGGGGTAAAGACCGCTAGTAGTGGGCTGCCCAATATACCAAAGGGAAACAAAGTTTGTCTGAGGAGACCTAAATAGTCGAAACTGCACAGGCGCGGTAACAAACACCCTAGTTGTTATCACACCTCAGACATGTCGAAACAACAAAACGACGGTTCGACACCTTATCCAAAGAAACGCGCTTTTAGTGCACCAAAACCTACAAGATATAACTGTCCTGAGGGACATGCTTTTATTCACATTATAAACCCAAAACGTCAGCGCTACCAAATAAGAATACTACTTGATTCAGGATCCAACGTATTCCTGATCAACAAAGAACTCGTAAAGGAATCACGAATCCCGTTCACAGAGAGACCGAATCCGGTCAATATTCAAGGCTTTGATGGAGTATCAACTCCGTCCGGAGGAAAGTTTTATACGCACCCTATTTGGCTTGAAATAGGTCGCAACAAACATATGTCTGAAGTTGTGTGCGAAATCGCAGCAGCAGGCGATTACGGGATGATAATCCCTTTCGGATGGTGGCATTCAGAACACCCCTTATCCAACATTGGAGAACCCGCAAAGTGGGAATTCAAAAACTCCAAATGCAAGAACTGCGTGGAAGAAGAAGATGAAGGAATTGCAGATATGTTCAAATACGATGAGACAGTAGCCTGGGATGAAAATGCGATCCAAGTAGGAAGAATTGGAACTATAGAGGATCCTAACGAAATCAACTTCGATTCTGTCCCAAAACACTACTGGATATTTAAAAAGCTATTTCTCCCCCAAACTGCGGCAAAGTTAGCACCTAGGAGAACCTTCGACCATGAAATTAAATTAGTCGAAGAAGCAAAACCCTCTTGGGGACCCATTTATCCTCTGTCTGACAAACAACTTAAGTTGTTACGAGAATACCTTGACCAAATGTTACAGGAAGGAAAGATCATGAAAAGTCAATCACCTTTCGGTGCTCCAATCCTGTTTACACCAAAAGCAGATGGAAGATTATGACTGGTAGTGGACTACCGAAACCTAAATAAGATAACTATCTTAAACAAGTATCCACTACCGTTAATGTCGGAATTACGTGATAGGGTAGCAGGAGCTAGTATCTTTTCAAAAATCGATTTAAAAGATGGCTACAACCTCATCCGAATTAAAAAAGGGGATGAATGGAAAACAGCTTTCCGATCGCGTTATGGACACTATGAATATAAGGTCATGCCGTTTGGATTAGCCAATGCTCCAGCTACATTTCAGGACATGATGAATGAAGTCCTCCGGGAATTCCTAGACCAAGGAGTCATATGCTATTTGGATGATATTCTCATCTATTCAAAAAACGAGAAGGAACATATCGAGCTAGTAACCAAAGTGTTACAAAGACTAACAGATTTTCAACTCGCGATTTCAATCAAGAAATCCTTTTTCCATGTTAAAGAGGTGGAATTCTTAGGCTACATGGTAGCTATCGATGGGGTATCTATGAGTACCCGAAAGGTGTATTCAGTGTTAAACTGGAGGTCACCTACGTCGGTCAAGGAAGTTCAAATATTCTAAGGATTTGCAAACTTCTACCGACGATTTATAGAAAACTTCTCCAAGATTTGTGCTCCAATTACAGAAACATTAAAAGGTGATCCTAAGAAGTTCCAGTGGGGTCCGGAACAAGAAAAAGCCTTTCAGGAACTTAAGAGAAGGTTTACTTCGGCCCCAATCTTGCACCATTTTTTCCCAGAAAGAGAAACGGTGGTGGCAACGGATGCCAGTGATTTCGCTTTAGGTTGCATCCTTTCCCAGTTTGTGGAAAAAAGACTGCATCCAGTGGCTTTTCACTCCGGCAAACTAAATTCCGCAGAGCGAAATTACGAGATCCACGATAATGAACTGCTGGCAATACTTGAAGCATTCAAAGAATGGCGTCAATACCTTGTCGGAACTGAAAAACCCATAACGGTTTATACCGATCACCAAAACTTGCAATATTTCCTTACCTCGAAGGTCTGGAGCGGACGCCAAATCCGTTGGGCACAGAAGCTGGTAGACTACAACTTCAGGATTGTCTACCGCCCAGGCACAAGGGGAGGTAAACCTGATGCACTCAGCAGACGGCCGGAGTACCGTTCTGAGGGGGGAGCTGCACATCACGAACAGGCGATATTAAAACCCGAACATTTCCAAATTAGTTCCGTAACAAGAACTACAAAAAGGGAAATTCAAATACGCTTAATAGCAGGTGGCTCACAGGTTGATATAAGCACAGGTGATATACAGGAAACAGTAAACTGGAATAACTCGAACTCCGTGATTCGAGTAAAACAGTTAGATACAAGAGCAAGGCTATCAACCAAGGTTTCACGGATGGCAGCAAGACATGATCTCTACGCGATGCAGGAGGATATAATTCCAGCACGGGGACAATTAGTTGTGGCAACCGGAATCGCAATTGGAATCCCAACCAGAACCTACGGAAGAATTGCTCCTAGAAGTGGACTAGCAGTCAAAAGCAGTATTTCTACAGGTGCTGGAGTAATCAACGCGGATTATACCGGCGAACTCAAAGAATTACTATTCAATCATCAAGACGTAGACCGTCACATTAAAGCTGGCGACCGAATTGCCCAGCTAGTGATAGAAAAAATTAATACTGCAGATATGATGGAAATAGACAATCTAGAAGATACTGAAAGGGGCGCGTCGGGATTCGGCAGTACGGACATAGCAACAAGGGCTATTATGATCCAGGAATTGGAGCCAGTAGTCAGCCAGTTACATGCCTCAGCGGAACAGAATATACACTGGTATGGCACAGCCGAAATACCTGAACGAACCCTCATGACTAGCTCTATACTAGCCCATAAGGAACTCAAACAATTCAATCCGGAATTCTTGGAACAGATCCAAAAAGCCATCACGGAAGATAGAGATTGCCTTAAGAGAAGAAATGAGTTAGAAAAACTACGAGACAATGACAAACCTTTCCCAAAAGATTGGACCCTATCCGATGGATTGCTCTACTACAAACAAAGACTATTTGTACCGAATAACCAAGACCTTTATACGACAATAGCTGAAGGATGTCACGATGCTAAGATAGCAGGACACTTCGGACAAGAAAAAACCCTTGAGATAATTATGAGGGACTTCTATTGGAAGGGATTGGTAAATTGGGTAAACGATTACGTACAGTCGTGCGATGATTGTCAACACAACAAATTCCCACGACATGCGAAATACAGTCTACTACAACCACTATCAGTACCATATGCAGCATGGGCATCAATATCAGTCGACTTCATTACACAATTACCACAAAGTCAAGGCTGTACCCAAATTATGGTAGTTGTCGACCGGTTTACAAAAATGGCCCACTTCATCGGATTAGAAGGAACAGCTACTGCAAAGGACGTGGCTACAGCCTTTACAACAGAAATATGGAAGCTACATGGCTTACCAACAGAAATTGTCTCGGATATGGATTCCAAGTTCGCTGGAGAATTTTGGGAATCCTTGTGCAAAACACTAAGTATAAAAAGAAGGATGTCTACAGCATATCATCCCCAAACAGATGGACAAACTGAGCGAACCAACCAAGTGCTGGAAGGTTACTTGCGAAGTTTCGTCAACTATGATCAGGATGACTGGTACCAGCTCCTACCGTTAGCCGAACATGCTTATAATAACTCGGCAACCAATGCACATGTACTAACCCCTTTCTACGCAAACTATGGGTTCCACCCACAAACCGAATGGATGAAGGAACGCGAGGCGCATAATCCAGGAGCCACACTCTATGCGAACTGGATAAGAACGATCCACGAACAAGCAAGGCAATCACTTCAACGGACATGAGAAGCTATGGCCAAATACTATGACAGAAAGGCCAAACAACAACCTGACTTCAAAATCGGTGACAAAGTAATGTTAAATGCAAAAAACATTCGCACGTGTCGGAAGTCGAAGAAACTGAGTCCAAAACTATATGGACCATTCGTGATCTTGGAGAAAGGGAGAAACCGTGCCTGCAAACTCAACATTTCGGATCGATGGAACATCCACCCAGTGTTCCATGTATCTCTGTTAGAACCTTACAGGGAGTCGGTATGCGCTAACCGACAACAACCTCCCAGAGAACCCGAGGACATTGAGGGCGACTTACAATGGGAGATAGAAAAAATAGTAAGAAGCGAAATACGCTCTTACTGAAAAAGAGTACGTAGTCGCTACCAGGAGGTACGTGAACTATGGTACTTCGTTAAATGGCAAGGATGTTCTGAAGATGAGAACACCAGGGAACCTGCCATAGGTATGGATAACGCAAGAGAAATGGTGGATGAATTTCACCGCGATATTCCGGAAATGCCACGGCAGGCAGAGGAAGGACGATGAGAAAAAGGTTTTCCTACCGTGGCCAAGCAAACGCGGGAGGTTTTTTACCCTGCTCTTATCGGGTCCTAAAGGAATTAATGTTTAATGTTTAATAATTAGTTGTGTTAATTAAATTTTTTAAAATTTTGAATGTACCAAAAAAGGCATTCGGGACGAAGCCTTAAGACGAGGGAGCTCATATTAGGAATACCGAGATCCGATACCTAGGAACCACCCTAGGTAGGGTAACCTCTCCCAAAATCGAATTCTCAGGTCTCCAACACCCCCCTCCGGCCCCCTGACGGGGCCCGCGCATCATCATACATATCGATCTAAGTTGCGTCCTGTAAGTATTATACCTCAGAATCGAAGGTGTTATAATAACACCGTATACGTCACCGCGGTCGGTCGGACCGGATCCGGTTGGCGGGATATATAGGAGGGGACCTTGGGCTAGGTCTGGGAAGTATAAGGGAGGGAATCGGTCAACTCTTTCCGGCACACGTGGCGGCCGCTGGAGCATGCATCGAGAGGGCCCA